CCCCAAAACCCCAAAACCCCACTAAGCAGAACATTGCTAATAATAAAAATCTAATTCTAAATCAGAAAAATCATTAATTTTATTATTGAATACCTTATGACTAGCCTTCATTTTATCTAAAAATCTAAGCTAATCCATCATAGTAACTCTTTAAATCAACCTTCATCCCTTCGCAAAAGCCACCTATTTATCTTTTAAATGCTTTTATATCCGCCATCAGGCCATTGGATATTTATTGAAGTTCATTTATTTCATGATAGAACTTCTTACTTTCATCCTCATTTTCTTCCTTTATCCTTTGAAATTCCAGCTCTAGGTCTTTGATCTCCGTCTCTCCGTTTAACACCTACTTCTTTAAATCTTCATTCTCTAACTCTAATTGATTCAGTTTCAACTTCATATTTTCGTAGTCTTTACGTATTTTCTCACTTGCCTTTGATATTCCTACTCCAGCCATATTTTTATTCTAATGCTCATTGAATGCTATTATTCTTTTGATTTCTTCTTCCAAGTTTCGCTTGTCAATCTCTACTTAAACTATCACTTAATTTAGCCTTTGTTTATCCTCAGAATATTAATCCAGCTTATCTCTCCATTTGAGCTTAAGTTCTTCTACTATCGGTGCTACATCTCTGATCATATCCACTGAATTATCAAATTGTCCATTTTACAGCATCTTTATATGAATGCCTTTAGAGTATTTTCCAGGAGTAGCCTCAGTCATTCTACCTTACTCTTGTAATTTCAAGGAGACCAAAACTTAATTAACTGTCTAAGCTGTATTTGCAACTTCCTTGTCTGTCTATGTTATTTATGACTCAGTCGTCCTTCTCAATTCTTCTAAATTCTTAAGTGACAACTCTGCTTTTTAAATCTGAGCTTAATTTTCATCTCTTTCCCTTATAATTAGATCTGCTTCATGCTTAGTTATTGGTTGTTCTTTTACTATCAAATTTATTTATTAAATTTCCTATTGTATCTCTTGCTATTTTAGCTTTTCTTGCTCTATCAAAGTTTTTAGCTTTTAAATGCTATCATGCTTTTAATTGATCTTTAATCCTTTGATTTTATGTTGGTTTTTTACTTCCTCAATATTAAGTCTTATCTACTCATTTTCCTTTTACAATTGATCTATATTTGGAATGTAACCCTCTGCATCTTGAATCTACTCTTAAATGGCATTAATTTTCAAGAGTTTATCATCAATAGCATATTTCTAGTCATTAATCTTCTGATGAACCCTATAATATGATTAATAAAGACTTAGATAGTTTTTATAATGAATCTTACATTGAGCAAACTTATTCATAAATCTAATGGAATTCAACTTCCTCATTTTAGTAGAGGTATTCTTGATATTCATGCATCATTAATTTGATTACTGGTCTTAGTTTTAGTTTAACTTGATTGTTTAAGTCGTAGGTAGTCTAATGAGGAGTTTAATAGGAACTATATGCAGATGTCTCTACTAAAATATCCAAGAAAATCTACTCGTATGGTTCATACCAGAGTTCATCCTCGTCACCCATCTCAGCATCTTCTTCATTCAAGCTTTTTCTTGATTTTCTTTTAGAGTCGTAATTAGACATATCTTCATTATCAGCTTCTTATATAAAATCATCCTCCTAATCTTCAATCTGTGGCTCTTTTCTGATAAAATAGATTTTAGTGACTAGATATAACCAATATAGTGCTCTAATCAGAAAAGCTATTGTGGTTTAAGCCCCTACAGCTTTGATTGCATCTGATCTGATCGTTCCAGGGTATTTAAGCATGTTAAATATTTGCAGGATCTCATTCTCCTCAAACTTAGGCTAGACATTATAGTTTGGAGCAAATTACTTTATCAAATGGTAGATTATTGAAGCAGCCTGCAATCCATTTATTGTTTTAAAGTTCTTGATCCCATTATTATCTTGAACTATGGTTACAGTTTGTAAAAAATCTAGAATTTCTTTCAAATATTTCTCTGGCTTTGAAAAGTCATAGTCTGAAAATTATTTTATAGGTGCAGCCGTCTTAGCATTATTTTGATTTTAAACATTTTAAACATGACTTGGCTCATTACTTCCCGGATTTCCAAAGCCCTTTGGATATTTATTTTGATTCAATGGAATTATACTCTACTTTTGCTAAGATTATGACCTCGCAGATTGATTTGGAAGATTACTCATTCCTACTCTGAATTAAGTTTGCTGCATATTTGGCCTTGAGATAGTTTCTCATCCTATCATTTTAGTTGATTGCGGAATAGTTGAAGTCCTCACTGGGTTTAAGTTCGAAAGTCTACCCTCTAATCTTCAATTAATATTATTTGACCTTACCTTACGACATAGGTTAAATGACATATTGAAAGTTTTACTGAGATTTAATAGTGACTCTATCCTACAGCGATTCTCTTTGCTAACTTTTACTTTACTGCTAATTGGCATTTTTTAAAAGTTGCTCTCTTCTATGCTACATTTTATAATTTAAATTCAATTTAATCAAATACTTATTAGCTTTAAAATATATTCTAAGGGGTTTTGGGGTTTTGGGGTTTTGGGG